TAATGAAAGTTACGCATATCAATGTAGTTTCCATTGGCATGTAGTTTTGGCCGCCCTGAATGACCCAATTCGGAGGGCAAAGGTTCATTTTTATATTATTTTGACCCCCGCCCTACGAGCACACTACGTTAAAGTTCACATTGAGAGAGTTGACGCTGTCAAAGCTACATTGTTTTTTTTTTCACCGCTCTTGATAAAAAAAAGTATTTTCAATATTAAAAATATAAGAGGTTAATAAAAATTAAAAAAAACACACAGATCGATTCATCGAAATACGATTGATTATGAAAAATTAAAGTTAAAAAAAAGAAAAATAAATCAAAGAATCCAACATTGTTGAAAAAAGTTTGTTGTTGTTGTAAATACAGTGTAAATAAACAGAAAAATGCATAGCTGTACTGAAAACAAATGTAAAGGCATGAAATTTGAGGGTCTTTTTCTAAACTGCAAGTATTGCAATGGCAAAATATTCATCGAATGCATTGAAAATGCATTCATTCAGCGACTATTAATAAATCTGAATATGTTGGTGAAAAAAGATGATGAATATACATATGTGAGAAATATAAAACAAGAAAAAAAATTCACATACACATTTGGAGCCGGTTCGCCAATGGCTATTTCGTTTTCAGTATGTGATAAAAAACAAAAACAATTGAAACAAACAAATGAGGAGGCAACTGAACATATTTACACCAAAGATGATATAGCGAAAGCATTAAAAAATGTGGGTGACAAAATAATTTTTGATATACAAAATGTATTCAAAAATGAAATAGAACAAGCGGCATATATCACAACAACAACAACACAAACACCAATAAATATTGATGATTCATCAACTTCACAGCCATTAGATGACTCAAATACAACTGAGGAAACAGTGAAGGAGGTGAAAATTAATAAACGGAAAAATAAAAAAAATAAAAAGAAGAAGAAGAAGAAAAGCACAGAAGAAAATGGGCAAGACACAAAACAAAGAAAAGCGGAAAATCAACAACAACAACAGCAGCAGCAACCAACACAACAACAACAAATACAGGGTGTAAACACAAATTGGCATCGGCAAGAAAGGGCATCACATAATTATGGACTTTTCAATGGTAATCGTCGGCAAATGAATATCCAATCATACAACAACGATTATGAATATGGCCGTCGTCAAGGAAATCAACAATTTCAAACGAATAGGTCATTTCAACAACGGAATTATGTGAACCACCAACGCAGATATGAACAGCACCCTAATGATTGTGATTGTAGGCAATGTTTTGTTGAATTTGAAAGCCGCTATGAGGATTTTCGTCAAGGCATGTTCGGACACCAGCCGCCAGCTCGCAACTGGCAGCACAGGCCGCCGGCTCAGCGTTGGCAACGATGGAGAAACCAATAAATCTCAGCACAAACTTATCTGCGCATGAAAAATACTCTACGCAGATAAACATCCATTCACAAAATGTGAATGGTTTAAGAACAAAAATATCGGAGTTTGCAGCTGAGATAATGGTTCAACAATCATCGATTTACATGCTATGCGAAACTCATTTAAGTGATGCAATCAATTCTGTTGACGTTTTTCCACCAATGTACGAGGTTTATAGATGTGATCGATCATCACTAACAGAAAAAGACCAAGTACATCAAAAGGAACACGAAGGTGGAGTTTTAGTTGCTGTCAACAACAAACTGAAGTCAGTTTGCATCGGAACGGGTGACCATTTCGGAGCTGAACAAATTTGGGTGAAGGTAGCCGGCATGAAAAAGAACATCTTTTTGGTTGAATTATATATTCGACCAGATTCAACACTCAAGGTGTATGAAAACAACATGTATGCATTGAAAGAAGTCGCATTGAAATTGAATACAAATGATGTTTTCATTGTGTCCGGAGACTTTAATCTGCCAAAATTGATTTGGTTTGTTGATGAAAATGAGGACCCAGACATTGCAATTGCTATCAATGCAGCCAGTGAAAAAGAGAAGATAGTTCTGGATACTTGCTATGAACTGGGACATCACCAGATTAACAAGAACTACAACCAAAATGGTCGTATGCTTGATTTAATCTGGACAAATGATGCTGAGTTGCTTCAAAGCACCATTAGCGACTTTCATTCGTTGAATTTTGAAAAGCATCATAATGCTATTAGTATACGATATAAAGAGTCAATCATAAAGACAACTGAAACAATACAAACATATCGAGATTTCAACAACGCTGACTATAAACAAATAAATGAGTCGCTTCTTGATGTTGATTGGGATAATGTTTTTGATACAAATTCATTAGAGTTAAGACTGGATAATTTTTATGCAATTATAAGGTCAACAATAGAAACTCATGTCCAGTTGAAGACAAAAATCATCAGAAAGCAGCCGATGTGGTTTAACAAATCATTAGTTGTATTGAAGAACAAAGTCAGCAAAGCACATCAAAATAAAAAAAGGCTCAACACACCTGAATCAATTGAACATTACAAAGAAATAAGAAGGGAATATGAACGATGTGCAAGCTCAGCTCTCAGAGATTACAGAATAGAGATGGAGAAACAGATAGATGATGATCCAAAGAAATTTTTCAAGCACGTGAATTTCAAAAAAGGGAAAAGTGAAGATCTACCACATGAGATGACTTATTTGAATGAAAAAGCAAGCGATCAATTAACAATTGCTAGTTTTTTTGCAAAACACTTTGGCACCGCTTACAGCTCTTTAGAAGGTGATCTGCGATATGACAGCTCGGAAATAGAAAAAATACGTGATATTTGTGCAGAAATATCAATGACCGAAATAACCGAGGAGCTTGTAGGTCAACATATAAGCATGCTGCCAGATGATCTTGTCTGTGGTCCTGATGAGATTCCAAACAAATTCATCAAGCATTGTTTGATTTCATTACAGGAGCCAATATCAACACTATTAAAGGAATCACTTGAAACTGCCACTGTACCGCAGTTATGGAGAACGTCATTTGTCAGACCAGTTTACAAGAACGGCGATAGAAACAACGTTCAAAATTACCGGGGTGTTGCTTTACAGAGTATTTTGTCAAACAGACGCCATCTATTTGGACATAGCCAAGGCTTTTGACTCGGTCAACTTAAAATTGCTTATTCAAAAACTAGAAATCATGGGACTGAATGAGCAGCTGTTAAAATGGATCGAATCTTACTTGTCTGGTCGCAGACAAATTGTAAAGATTGCAGATATCAAATCCGACCCAATCGAAGTTACTTCTGGGACGGGTCAAGGATATCCCATTGGTGCTACTTTGTTCATCATGTTTGTAATTGATCTACCTTTCTTCGTGACCAATTCTACCATACTTTCATTCGCTGATGATACAAAAATTTCAAAATGTATCACCTCAACAGATGACTGCATTAATCATCAAAATGAATTGGATCGTGTAGCGGCTTATTATAGACGCAATTTATTAAAATTAAATGTAAACAAAACAAAGATCATATCATTTCAGCGGGGATCACTGCAATATGAATACAAATACAACATAGGCGGTGTTCAAATAGAAAGAGTCTTTGTAATAAAGGACTTAGGAGTGTTGCTTGATGGGCAAATGAATTTCAAATCACACATTGAGCATGTTACGGCTAAAGCTAAATCAAGACTGGCTTGGTTAAAGTTCTACGGTAAGGATTTCGTCGATCCATGGACAATTAAGCGCCTTTATTTTACATTTGTATTACCAATCATCGAATATGGATCGGAAATATGGAATCCACACTACGACAATATGTGCAAAAGAATAGAGTCAATACAAAAACAATTTTTACTTTATGCGCTAAGGAGAATGAACTGGGATGGCTATAGACTTCCAAAATATGAGCAAAGACTGCTGTTTCTACAAATGATTACGCTGGAGGAAAGACGCAAGATGGCGCAAGTGTCTTTCATCTTCAAAATTATTAATGGAGATATGAAGTCAACTCATACAGGGTGTCTCACGAACTAGGCGCACCCCCTAAATTTTAAAATTTTAAAAAACGCTTTGGGGGGTATGTTGGGGATAAAAAATAGAAAATTTATATCGGAGCAGAATTTTGAATTTTTGCCCAGGGGGGGTGGGGGTGCACCCCACTATGCCAAAAATTCATCGGATCACAAAATGATCTAATACAAAGTTGTTCAGAATGACAAGAGAAATTTTTTATGACCCCCGCCCTTCACCTCCCTCAACCCCCCAGGGGGGTTGGGGGGTCAAAACCCCCCCAAATATTATTTTTTCGAGCTGAAACCCTGAAATTTGAAATCAGCATGAAAAATTACTTTAGAAATGATATGACTCTCGCGTATAAATGTAGTTTACCTAGAAACAACAATACCATGACCTATAATATAATATGAGATGAATTGAGACGACATGACCTGGAAGTGAGTCTTGTGAAGTATGTGGATCCGACCTGGTCCAAAGTGTACTGGAAGTTGAGAACTCAGAGTGATACATCCTCTACGCTTCATCTCATATAATATTTTGATGTAAATGGCAGTCCTGATCAACAGAAACCTAAAATGGCCTGGAAGTGAATCCTGTGGAGCAGGTGGATCCGACCTGGTCCAAAGTGTTCTGGAAGTCTAGTGCTCGAGGGATTTCATCTCCTATGGGGATGAGCAATTTCGTTATTTTTTCGATTTTCCCATCGGAAATGCGAGAAAAATCTACTATTTCTCTGCTCGCTTCGCTCTACTTTGAATTAGATGGACCGAGATAAACAAAAAATAAAAATAAAAATTTTCAATGATTTTGAAGCAAACACTACCTACTACAAATGTATGTTTCAACCACGGTATAATGTGCATGAGCCGAGCGCAGTGAGGCGAACATATGTGTCCATGGGAATAAAAGTGGCAATACAAAAACGGAATCTGAAGAACGTCGCATAAATTTTTTTTACATAGTATAACTCTATACAAAAAAAATTATGTAACGTTCTTCAGATTCCGTTTTTGTATTGCCACTTTTATTCCCATGGATACATATGTTTGGGAAATAATTAATGCGGGATGAAACCGCTATTTCTATACTACTGAAGGGGCTATCCGACGGTGCCCCTCGTAGGTTCCTCCTGCCCCCCGATGGGCTAAAAAATCGGGTCAAAGTAAAAATTGCTATGGGGAGAGGGGTTTTGACCAATTTTTCGAGAATTTCTTCCAGACTTCACAAGTGATTTCACATAGGAGATGGATAGAGCGACCAATGAGCAATAAAAAGAGCGAAAAAAATCGAGAAAAAAAACCACGTCTTAAGCCGATTTTTCACTTTTAATATTTCAAACCGTTTTTTTACCACTACAGGGGGGCAGGGGGACCAAAGGGGGCACCCTCGGATAGCCCTATCGATTACCTTTCCAACGATATACATATGTCCGGGTAATTAGATAAAAGTTTACAAATGTTGAATGAAAAAATGCAATTTTTTCGATTTTTGACCATTTTTTTGAAAATTGATTCCTTGATTTTTTACGACTTTGTGAAAAGTTGAGTCCCAAATTTTGGCCATCTTAGTTTCTCATGAGGGTCAACATATATACAAAATTAAAACGAAATCCGAGACCATGATTTCAGATTTTGATCGATTTGATATGGAATCGTCGTATTGGAAAAACTGCCCGCTAAACTCTTTGAATGCACTTCAAATGGGAGACGATGCTGCGAATACCAATGATCATCAACAACAACCGGAAAAAGAACAAGAATACCGAGAGCTAATGCAAGATTTGCTACTACTACTACTGCCATTTACCATTGTTTGGCATACCGAGTTGCGGCCAGGTGCATCATGAATAAAGGTACAATTTTCTGTAGTAACTTATTTTGAATAAAATTAACTCAAATTCATTGATTTCAGCTGTGTGTTTCATTTTCGATTAAAATTGCTAAATTCGTTTGTGAGACCACAGCCACCAATACCGCCGTATCGTAAAAAACCACCACAAACTGGAAAAAAAGCAAATGTTGTTCCGGCCCAGGTGAACAATCAATAATAATCAACCAACATCAATTGAAGAAAAGAAAACATGTTAAATAAAATAGTTATTACCAAAGCTTGTAGCTTTGTGGCTTTGATAATATCTGAGATATTATGTATAAAGTAACCCCAGTTAAGAATAATTTTACCGATTAATTGATAACAATTATTATTACTGTTGATTTTTAAGCTCTATTTTAATTAATATATTGATTTCAATTTAATGGAAATTTTTTGCATAACTCTTTTTGTTCCTTTTTTTCATTCCATTGTGAGGTTAAATTCGACCAACACAACTGCAACCCTGTATTCGACCATCAATATGTTCCCGATTTGCCCCAACAATTGTTTAGTGGGTAAAGTAAGTTGGATAACAAAACAATCGGATAAAATTGTAAATTTTAATTGACAAGCACATTTTAGATTAAACAACGTAATGTGCCCAGTTACCGGACACCTAAGAAGCTTGTTTGGATTTGAACTATTTTAGAGAAAAAAATATGTTATATTTCTTATTAATCTTTTCGTAGATCGCTACGTTATTCATTTCTCTTTCAAAATATTTCTATATATTCCACAAAGCTTTTATTTTATTCATTTTATTTATAAAAACGGAAACAAGTCGACGTGCCTTGGTATCGGACATGTAGTGTTTGCTGATGTACCAGTTATCGGACACAGAGTTGGTACCAGTTATCGGACATAGATTTTCAGAAAATAAAAGAAAAGCGTGAACGGAAAAATCATGAAATTCTTTTCATTCGATAGGCGATAAAAACTTAATTATTTGGAAAAAATGTTCAAAATATTTTATTTTGGATTTTTCGACAAAATTTCGAATTCTTGTATTCATCTTAATGGAAGGAATGTCAATTTTGGCACTATTTTTAGAAGTAAATTAACGCGATAATTTTGGAGAGAAATGTTTAAACATAATCAGAAAACTTCACTGAATAAAAATATTCTGAAATTTAAATACAATTTTATTATTGAAGTAAACATTTCACTTAGTGGAACAATCCTTTCTGTTTGAAGAACTCTTTAACACAAGAGCGTATATCGTGTCCGATAATTGGGCATTACTATTTTTTATGAAAATGTACCAGATATCGGACAGTGGAAAAAATGTCAAATTAAACGCTTAAAAAAAATTCAATTCGATAATAAACATTCAGAATCATCGCTTCAAAAATATATAATTACTGCTGCATAAAAATCTATTTGAATGTTCACTTGAACTGTTCTACCTGTCCGATAAATGGGCAAATACCATAAATAAGACACTTTTTTTCTGCCCGGTTCTCGGACAGGTAAAAAAGGTTGAACATTTATAAAATTGATTTTATATAACAATTAAAATTAAATCTACGATATTTAATTACTTTAAATGTGAAGTTTCACACTAATGCGTATAGTTTGAAATATTTTTCTACAAACTTGCATAGAGCAACTCATGTGACTGACTTTCGTTTTTAAGCGCAAATGACAGAAAAATTCAATGATGCTGAAGTTAATGATAAAAATAAGGATATTTATTTGTAATGCAAAAAATAACTTTTAATGCCCTATAATCGAAAAATCTTTTTATATACAGGGTGGTTGTATATAAATTTAGGAATATTCGAGTATAAATCGTTTTTTTTTTTAAATACAAAGCAACACATTACGTTAAACCATTAAATTCATTTAATAAGCGAAATCCATTGAGTTTTTAAAACTCCAATTTGAAAATTTTTGCTGTTTTATCTTCTGACGTCGTAAGAATCTCGTTTGTTGCCTTTTTATATTTGATATCGTACACTTCGGCTGCATGTCCCTCAAGGTGGTTCTATCAAAAAAAAATCACGAAAATATCTTTACATTTCTATTAATTTCGATTTCTCCAAACGTAAAAACTAACCTTGCCGTTACCATTTTTACCTAAAAATGATGAGAAAATAAAAACAATTAAATGAGAATTTCGAATTAAGCAATAGAGAGATTTACGAGAATATATAAGAGATTCCAACGAAGGTATATATTAATTTGTATGTTTATATTTGGTCTAAGAGACAATCAATGAGCAAATAAATTCAAAATCACTTGAACAAAAAAAAATTGCTTAAATTTGAGATTTGGTGGTTGTAATCCACTCTGGTGGAAGAAAACAAAAGCTTACTATGAATGCGTCAGTTAGTTCCTAGATTTAAAAATGGAACAAACAATGAATATTTATAAGCATATTACAAGCCATACAATAAGAGTAATGAGCCTCGAATTTCAAATTCAATTGAAACTTTTATGACCATGATTCAATTTGACAATTTTATGACTCAAATTACTTCTTTTGATATTTTGCTGCACGATTTATACGATTCCTAAGATTCGGAGGATTTGTAGAATCGTCGATTCCATACGGCAGTAATTATTTTAAAAACAGGTTTAATAGGTATACGACATCACAGCGGACGGCAGTTCGCGCGAGTGACGAAACCACCTTAGTGTGTTGAAAAGTCGACTTGCTATATATACACGTAATTTCCAAATTCTAGCCTGGAAGGCCTTTAGCCGCGATTGGTGTATGGTTGGAAAGCCATTGGGCCATAGATCAAGAAAAAATATAAAAGTTCGAAAATCGGTTCACCTGTCTTCAAAATATGGTCCTTTCAAGAAAAACGTCAAAATTCAGTTTTATGGCCATAGATGGCACTAAATGTGGTCGTCGACCCCTGAAACATCGATATTCAAATTCTAGAGCTCAATACTTTTACAACGACCCCCTAACCGTCAAAATCGATCAATCTTTTCGAAAAATTCCGCATTTTGAACATTTCATATGATTTTCCTATACAAAATATTTGGTATATCTGACTGTGCGCAATTTTGCGTAGTTGTATTTGATCTTTTTACAACTTTCTGTGATTAAAGTACACAAAAAACTTAGACTTTTTTGTTCTGGCACTTTTCGATTTTGCCGCCGTGTTGGCCATGGCCGGCCTCTAAAAGTCACTTTTCGACTTTTTTCCCTATGGTCACCGAAGCGCCATGACTTGACACCCCCCAGACATATGCATATCATTGGAAAGGTCTTGAAGTGCGCTATCAAATGAAGCCATTTGCGGTCCAAAAATTTCAATTTGGAGTGGCCAAATTGGCCAAAAACCAAAAAGTTACCGTTTGGCCGGACACATAATGGTCATTAGCTCGAAAACTAGCCTTTCATGGTCACTTGAAAATTTCACCGATTTTTAGGCCCAAGTCTAAGCTATAAAATGCCGCATAGCTTATATCCCTAAAAATTCTTGTCTTCACGATATGGCCTTTGATAGTGCGAATATGGCCAAAAATAGCCAAAAATGACAAAAAATGTTACTTTTAACATTTAAAGTATTTTATGGGGCAAAATGTACTCCAATGATTCTGTAGATATGCTCTGTGACTTGCCAAACAAAATTGAATAAAATATCAACCGTTTTGGATGGCTACACCAAAAATCGGCCAAATGTACCAAAATTCGAATTTTCACAAAAATGTCTAGATGTATGAAATATGAAATCTTAACAACAAATAACTACATGTTTGATAGTTTCCTCGCATAAGATCGATAAAATACCGAATCTTATGTCCCCTCCCACCAGGCCAGAAGATGGACTATCGTTGGGAGAGGGGCATGCGGTTAGTCACAAATGAAATTAAAAGAAATCTACAAAACTGTTAGTATAAATGGCAAACTATGCAAAAGGTCATGCAAAAATGGCCATTATTTCATACGGTCGCTGTGGGACCTAGACTTGACATAACCAGGACATATGCATATTCGTTGGAAAGGTCTTAAAGTAAGCTCTCAAGTGGAGTCAATTGCAACTTAAAAATTTCATGTGGGGGTGGCCAAATTGGCAAAAAACCAAAAATTGACCGTTGACCGCACACATAACGGGCATTTTTTCGAAAAAGACTGCATATGTTATCTTGAAAATTTCATCAATTTAAGCCTCAAGTCAAAGATAAAACAATATGCATACCACATACCACTGAAAAATACCTCTGTTCCTCATTATGAACCATAATTTGTATAAATTTGGTCCAAAAATAACCTAAAAATCCATATTTTCATTGTATTTGAAAAATATTCAAATTCATGTGTCTTGAATCTTTAACTTGGAAAATAGCGCTTACAAAACTATTGATATCAAATAAAAAACCTCTATCAAGGTGAAGAACGAGTGACGAAACCAAAATTTGAAACACAAAAGGATCGAGTACTATCTGTCAAAATATTTCCCCCTATGCCAAGCGAAATTAATTCGATATACGGCGCTGATGTAAATGTCACTCTGTCATTTCACAATAATACTTTTTTGGCTTAACAATATATAAGCTCTTCATTTAAAATGCATACACATTCATAATTATTGAATCGTTGAAAAAAAAACATGTCATAAAATATTTTTCTAACATTTTTCATTAAAAACTTTATTAATTTTTTTTTTTATAAAAAAATTAATTTGTTTATAAATTACAATAATTTCAACAAAACATGTTTCATCGATTAAATAAGAATCTAATGTAAATAGTAATGACAATGCGACACCTACCGTAAAAATGCAAAAAGAAACTTAGTTGGTATCCATTGTAGCATTTTTGTCCACCATGACAGCATCTTCGTTTTACTTGACCAATCACAGAGAAGCAAAACGAAGATGCTGTTATGGCGGACCAAAATGTTACAATTCCAAATAAGTTTCCTTTTCTATTTTAACGGTAGGTGTCGCATAGGTATTACTTTTTACATTAGATTCTTGTTCAATCTATGAAA